GGACAAGGACAAGGACAAGGACAAGGACAAGGAAATGGACGTGGACAAGGAAAACGACAAGGAAAAGGACAAGAAGAAGGACGTTGACGAGGACAAGGACAAGGACATGGATGAGGACAAGGACAAGGAAAAGGAAAAGGACAAGGGCGTGGACGAGGAAAACGACAAGAAAAAAGAAAAGGACATGGACGAGGACAAGGACAAGGGCAAGGACATGGACGTGGACGAGGACAAGGACAAGGACAAGGACAAGGAAAACGACCAGGAAAAGGACAAGAAGAAGGACGTTGACGAGGACAAGGACAAGGACATGGATGAGGACAAGGACAAGGACAAGGAAAAGGAAAAGGACAAGGACGAGGACAAGGAAAAGGAAAACGACAAGGACGAGGACAAGGGCAAGGGCAAGGGCAAGGACAATGACAAGGACAAGGACAAGGATATGGACGTGGACAAGGACAAGGATATGGACGTGGACAAGGACAAGGATATGGACGTGGACAAGGACAAGGACAAGGGCAAGGACAAGGGCATGGACGTGGATGAGGACAAGGACAAGGACAAGGAAAACGACAAGGAAAATGACAAGGACAAGGACAAGAACGTGGACGAGGACAAGGACAAAGACATGGATGAGGACAAGGACAAGGACAAGGACAAGGAAAAGGACAAAGGCGTGGACGTGGACGAGGACAAGGACATGGACATGGACGTGGACGAGGACAAGGAGAAGGACAAGGAAAACGACAAAGAAAAGGAACAGGAAAAGGAAAAGGACGAGGACAAGGACAAGGACAAGGGCAAGGGCAAGGACAATGACAAGGACAAGGACAAGGATATGGACGTGGACAAGGACAAGGACAAGGACAATGACAATGACAATGACAAGGATATGGACGTGGACAAGGACAAGGACAAGGACAAGGACACGGACACGGACAAGGACAAGGACAAGGAAAACGACAAGGAAAACGACAAGGAAAACGACAAGGAAAACGACAAGGACATGGACGTGGATGAGGACAAGGACAAGGAAAAGGAAAAGGACAAGGATAAGGACAAGGACGTGGACGAGGACAAGAACAAGGACATGGATGAGGACAAGGACAAGGACAAGGACAAGGAAAAGGACAAAGGCGTGGACGTGGACGTGGACAAGGACAAGGACAAGGACAAGGACAAGGACAAGGACAAGGAAAACGACAAGGAAAACGACAAGGAAAAAGAAAAGGACAAGGACAAGGACATGGACGTGGACGAGGACAAGGGCAAGGACAAGGACATGGACGTGGATGAGGACAAGGACAAGGACAAGGAAAACGACAAGGAAAAGGACAAGGACAAGGACGTGGACGAGGACAAGGACAAAGACATGGATGAGGACAAGGACAAGGAGAAGGGCAAGGACAAGGAAAAGGACAAAGGCGTGGACGTGGACGAGGACAAGGACAAGGGCAAGGACAAGGACATAAACATGCACGTGGACGAGGACAAGGAGAAGGACAAGGGCAAGGACAAGGAAAGGGAAAAGGACAAGGACGAGGACGAGGACAAGGACAAGGACAAGGGCAAGGACAATGACAAGGACAAGGACAAGGATATGGACGTGGACAAGGGCAAGGGCAAGGACAATGACAAGGACAAGGACAAGGATATGGACGTGGACAAGGGCAAGGGCAAGGACAATGACAAGGACAAGGACATGGATATGGACGTGGACAAGGACAAGGACAAGGACAAGGACAAGGACAAGGACAAGGAAAACGACAAGGAAAAAGAAAAGGACAAGGACAAGGACATGGACGAGGACTAGGACAAGGACAAGGACATGGACGTGGATGAGGACAAGGACAAGGACAAGGACAAGGACAAGGACAAGGACAAGGACAAGGACAAGGATAATGAAAAGGACAAGGACATGGACGTGGACGAGGAAAAAAAATATAGTTTTTACGATTAGATTTATCCAGGTACTGCAGTGATTGCTTTATCAATTTCAGTCTTTACTACGATAATGCACCAATCAGTTAGCATTCTCGTCAAATTATTGCTCGGTGGATTATTACTAAGCTTCATCATATTCACAGGACTGTTATTCAAGCATACAGCGTGAACCGTAAAGCCATATGTAATAATTTAATAATTCGTAATCAATTTTTTTTGCTCGAAATTATGTAATTTTCGTAAAGTGCATGGGCAATCAAAACTCCCGAATCACGCCACAATGGCGAAGCGAGATTCTGTCATATCTTAACTAACTAAACTAATTCTACACACAGAAAACAGTCCTATTCTAAAAGGGACACGCATGATACAATCGATTATCTCGAAAATTTTGAAATCATGAAGCTACAAAGAGAGATTACAAAGTCGTAACTACAATGAGATAAGTCGTAACTCTCTTACAGAAATTGTTCCATACCCGCGCGCTGGCGCGCGGTACGATGTTTTCTTATATTTAAAATACAAGATTTGGAACGCGATTTATGGGATTTCTAATCTTGAACATTACACGTTTGAAAACGTAAATTACGAGCTGAAACCACTAATAATACGCCCAGAAATGCTGTCAATTCCGATTTTGATGTTGTAAATTACGGGAGCAATGCCATAAATTACGATTCCCAACGCGTAAGTATAGAATATAAAAATCTTTAAAAATTAATTTTCAAAATTCAACTTCATTTCAGAAATGGGATTGAAATGAAAGGAAATTGGTTGAAAAATCAAGGGAATATTAATAAGGCGGAAAGTAATTGTAATATGTCTTCTGCCGGAATAGGATTCTTCGTTACCTTTTCTTCTTTGATCCTTGGTTGATTGAAGAATACCAGTTTCGGGATTTAATATTAGTTTGAGAGACATGGTTCTGCCTTTATTGTTGCTGATTTATTATTTGCACGCGTTTTCTTTGTTTGATTTTTTTATATAATGATAGTGTGGTGGTGAGTCACAACATTTCTATAGTTGGAAACAGTCGGTTCTTGCGTGCTAGTTGATCGTATTGTGGTAATTCGTCTTCATTTTCTTATCCTTCTTATTGAAAATGTGGCATTTTATGGGGGATATTCTTGGGAGATTATTTGACATGGAACCCATTTTTTCAGCATTGGCGTAATGGTCGATGGAAGATTTCACTCTCAACTTTAGCATTGCTCTTATTGTAATTGTGGTACATACCTTTGTCGAAGAAGAGGATCTACACCAACTGTGGGCTCATCCAGAATGAGAAGCTCGGGGTCGTGCATAAGGGCAACCGCAAAAGATACTCGTCTTTGTTGGCCTCCACTACATTAATAAAATTAACAATTGAATAAAACATGAGAAGAAAAATTTGTTTCGGACAGAACCGATAATTTTTTCTGGGTAAAATCCCCTTCAAGTAATATAGAACAAGATCCAATTTTTACTTTGAATATAATTATAAACAGAGCTTCCGAATATAAAAAAAAAAATAAAAATTCTTAAAAGGCAAAAATTAACATGTAGTTTTGTTGAGAACACCATACTTGCATTTTCAAGCTCATCGTTGGGAAACTTAGAGTGTTTTTTCGGACATTTAACCATATATGAAATTATTCGTTAGATTCTCTAGTTTTTTTCAAGACATGGACAAAATGAGTTTAGGATCAAATACTAAAAAAAAAAGTGGAATTGAAAATCTCTCGATCCAGGCCGTATTGGGTGGTTTGAATCCACACATTTTTCACTTTTAGCAGCGGTCCGTTTTCGAGGGAACTCCTTGGACCAACTCAATATGGACCAAGTCATATGGAACACATGCACAATATTGCCATCATTCGAGTTCGAAACAATAAGACACCAGTATAAAATTACATAAAATATAGATAACAATATTCCTTAGATAAAGTGTTAATAAAATTTATTTAGCTATGAAAGATGAAAAGTGAAAGTGAAAAAATGGTGGAGCTTTCAACAAAACGAAAATTTTATGGAAAAGAAGTTGCTACTTTGACCAAAATACTTGGATATCCTTGAGGAAGTAATTGTTGTTTCAGAATCGGCGCACCATAATCCTATCTCTAAAAGTCGATACACCAAAATTACGTTCATGCGTAAGACTTTACGCGTAGCCCTAGTTCTCATTGGTCATTTTAAATAAAACTCATTTCTCATTGATCAATTGGCTATGTCATCGACACAACGGAATTAAATGGTATGTTCTGTCTAGTTTATGTAATTTGCGTAAATTGTTAGATTAATAGATGAGAGAAATTTTAATATTCTTCTTTCTTTGCTAGAATTTGAAATTTTTGAATTATATATAGTATCGGAAAAGATGTTAATTACCTGAGATTCTTGACCATTCTGTTCTGAGAAGGCAGATCCAAAAACTGCAGTAGAAACCTCAACCTTTCGACAATTTCCGGTGTCTCCATTCCGAAAATCCATCCAAAATACATCATGGTCTCTCGAATGGTAAATTCTCCGTAAAGTGCTATCTCCTGGGGCATGTATCCTACTCTTTTTCCCGGTACACCCGAGCCTTTCGTTCCAGGTTTACCCCCTAGCACCCAAATCTCTCCAGAATTGAGTCGTCTTCGTCCCACCAAACAAGACAATAGGGTAGTTTTTCCACAGCCACTAGCACCGAGGAGACCGTATCTAAATGACAATTTTTTTTACTTAAGTCGATCATCATCGATACGTCATGGACTCCAGACTAAGCCTCGATGTGTTAAATAGTTAATGATAGCATACAACACTTAAACGCAAATATCTCGCAAATTTTTTTCTGAAATATTTTGAACGTCCTTCTACTTATTTACTCGTTTATGCATTCAATGAACAAAAAAAATCATTATTCAATTATAATTTGCAAGCAAAATGATAAAACACAAAAATTGAATGAATGCAAGGCTTTGACTCAGAAGCAAAAATGAAAAAGTGCGAAGTAGTATGTCTTCCTCTGAATGACACACTTTCACGGTGACTTTGCATAGACTATTTCCTAGTAACAAATTGTCGTAAAAGAAATATTTTATGTCTCACATTGATCCTTTGGCCACTGTCATGCTCAGATTCTGCAGTACGTGATTTGGATTTTTGCTACTACCATACGTTTTGAATGCATGCCGCACACTGACTGCCTGTTGACGATTCCAGGCGGCATTATTAAGACCTGGAGTGGATAAAACTGTGCTCTGGCTTATTACGTTGTTTTCCATTATGGTCTCTGGATTTTGCATTGTTGTGATTGAATTGGAGTTGGCAGAACCGACTCCTATGTTGTCACTGTAAACGCAGGAAAGTAAAAACAATTAATTCATCATAAAACAGAACCAACTAGTCGTCATTAGTTATTAATGCTACTATTCGCTAAATCGATTGATGGATATGAACAATTCTTTCACTTGAAAATAATAATAATGAATATGCAATTGACAAATTAACGGGATTTTTAGGTATAGTAGATAGTTTATGTGATACTATCGTCAGCACTTTTTTGTATATACATATACATGTACATGTATGCTATATCCGATAAACCAGTGAGGAATAGCATTATAAGGAACTGCGTATAGCTGTTGTAGCTAAGAAATTAGCAACAAGCTTTCGAATGGATTTTCTGGAAATTGGAAAATAATAAGGGTAGTTCCCTCATCTTTTGAGTTGAACAAGAATGCTTTGAGAAAAAAAAAATAGAGCAGTCATTTTATTGATATTGCTCATATTTTCCGTTGATTACAAAAAAGATGAAAAAAAAAATCTCATATACAATATGCTATAACTTGACAACAAATGAGGCCATTCTCTCCACATTATGATACGATCAAGAACCTATTAATATCATTTTTTTAAGCGATCGTTGATTCCTCGATGATGATAATTACTTGAGTTATCGTTGAAAATCAATTTCCGGAAAAAAAAAAGATATTTTCGAATCTTTCTGCCGATTTCAATTCCAAATAGTTTCAATAGATAAAGCTTTTAAAAGTTTATATTCATTGGAAAAAGTTTGAATTGTATCAATTCCTGGTGAAGAACAAGAGGGAGAGAAAAAAAAGCAAAAAATACACACGCGCACATACATGCATCCATACATACATACATACACCATCTAAACACCGTATATTCGGACTTTTTAGACCACATTCAGTTATCCTAACACAAAAAATTGGGAACTTGAATATGGCTGAATACAAAGCTTCCATTCAGAAGCAAAAACGTTACATTGGGTTTCTTATGATAGAAAAATTCGCGCATGTATTGTTTGCTCTTGAGGCGACTGATTGGGAGAAAAATTCTATAACGGATTTTATTAAAGGAAAGGATGACTCCTCTCTTAGAAGAAAATCTTTGATCATTGTATGGAAATCTCTGAAATATTTGACTATAAAAACGTTTTAACATTGTGTTTGTACGCTTTTTGTGTGGCCCGCCCACTTACACTTAAATTGATTATAGTTATAAAAAAAGAGAAAAGTGATGGAGTTATCACATTCATTATGTATGTTCATTATGTATTCATTATGGAAAGAAAAGTTGTGGAAGATTTTATGAATGTAATTAAATTTTATAAATATATTATATTATTGTGTTGAAAAAATGAGTATAAATGAATAGGTTTTTTCTGATCATTACCTAGACGAAGTAGATCGATAAGGAATTCGCCTACTCACAACTTTTTTTTTAGAGCGAAGCATATTATATATTTTATACTTGATCCTAATATATCCAATTTTCGGTGACTTTCGGTGAAAAGTAGATTTTTCTACGATTCTAATAATAATTATGAATGTACTAGCATTAAGATAAGATTTATAGGAGAGGGAACGATAAAATGGGCCCCTAAGCAGAAACTCGTCCCGCAAAAATCTGTACCACTTAATCGACTAGTTTATAATCTCAAAAACATCTCCCTGAATTTGTCCAATCCGTCTACAGCACGAAAGTTTTGGGGGTACGGTGGATAAAATAAACCTCTTCTTACGATCTTTTTTTTTCTCAAAGAGCATCATTAAACGAATGCAGTTCCTTTCATTTCGATCATCATTCCATTAGTCACCAGTGACTAATAAGTTCATTCCTCATTACTTATTGCATTTAGTATAGACTCAGCACTAAAGAAAAAACCTAGAAAATGAAAGATGAGAAGTCCATTTTGCGCACGCGATTCGCTTTGCCTCACCCTTATACATCTATGTCAAAAATGAAAAAAAACTAGGAAGATATAGAAATGAAGAGAGGCCATTTACCCTCAAAGTTCATATTTTAGTCCCCCCCCCCTGCCCCCTCACCCCTTCACCTACTTATTTTAAGTATATTCTAGACTTGATTCCCGTATTATTTTTTTTCCGCGTCATATTGTTTTTCAGATGAAGCAACGGAATTGGGAAGTTCTAATCTTTATCCTCGCTGTAGACTCCAAAAACTTACTGCGGAAGTACCTTAACGGTGTGGTTTATAATCCACTGAAAGAATTTGTTGCCCAATGGAAACTGTTGAGCGTCAGCGAAAAGAAAGCCGTGGTCCGTTACGTAACAAAACAGCCGGTATCTTAACAGGTCTGCTGCTACTTTTCCAACTATGTAGCCATGAGTATGGGACATCGACATTTTATTCGCAATCGCTCCCCATCAAAGAGGACACGCACAAGTCTCAATAAATCTCGGTGAACTCCTTCATTCGTTTTAATGTTATTGTCACTTTGTCTTGATTTGACTTGACTTGACTTAAAGTACAGGCATTGCCCCTCGATCGTCCCGAACTGCTGGTCTCTTTATCTGCCATGATTGGACAATTATTTAATGTGACAATCAAAGAATTCACAATTGTCAAGCTTTCTCGGATTATATAAAATATTCTTTGGCGGTGATTTATAGTAGGAAATTGTTGATGTTGGTCATTACGATTGGGAATTATATGAAGTATTGAGGAGATAGGAGGAAATAGTACTAGAACATCTTGTCAGAAGGATTAATTTTAGAGAAGAATGTTCAGGGTTTTAAATCGAATTGTCTCTTATCGAATAATAATGGAGAAATGATATAAGTTATGGGAAGTTGTCGATAGCAATTGCTAATTGATAATTCATTAATCAACCGTAAAACCGTCATTTGAGGGAAGCATTGCAGTAATTTAGTAAAGTTGGTACAGATTCCTTGACACTAAATCATCAAATTATAATCGACCAAGTTATGACCTCAATCAAGTATTCAAGTACTCCGCATCGATTCTCGAACGTGACTACAGAAACAACATTCATACATCAAAAATTCAAACTATTCGATCTGAACAATAAAACGTAGTTCAATTATCACATTACATCTTGACTACTTTTTGATGAAATCGAATTCAAATGAGTTATCATTTTTACTAAAAAATAGAAACGAAATGCCTCCAATCTATCAGTTTAAAAAATTGAAATTATTCTTAAGCCTTAAGTGGTTTTGGATAAACACCTTTAAAAGAATCTAAGAACGTGTTACGTTGAAAGGAGAGCTGTTAAGTATCTTATTATTTATTACAAATTAGGAAAGAAAGAAAGAAAGAAAAAATAGTATTCATAATTCGTTATGACGTCACTCATTACTGCGATTGTTCAACCATTTATACTACTCAAATCCGTTCGGTAATCGGCAACAATTTTATACGGCCTTAAATCCATAAACAATCTCAACTATTTCACTTTCATTTTCTCAGCATTTTGTTTTTATCGCCAGGTGTAAATATGACATGTTGAGAAATACCCTGAGAAGTAAAATTCAATTAAATATATCCAGGTGCATATTGGATCAGAACCTTTACGACCATTCTAGGGCAGTAACCATTTGTCATTTAAAATTGACAAAGATTTCATTCAAATTTGAAAGATTTTTATTAGGCATAGAACATAGAGAACGTATCAAAATGAATTATGGGCGCTTCATTGTTCCAATCTCTATGAATTTCATACAACAATTGCCTTCAGTATTTGAATGTAAATAAATTCCTAATCAATTAAGAATTAAAAAAAAAAGGGTAACCAAATTGCCAACGAAAAAATTTTTGGAAGGCCAAAGGTCCGCCGGAATTTCCAATAAAAAAAAAAAAACGGAAAAAAAGTTTAAATTTATTAAAATCATTTATATAAAATTTCAAGACTAATTCTCCATTCAAACACTCGAATTTCATCATTATGAATTAATGTTCCCGTTTTTATCAACACCCATAATTAACAATTTTTCAAACTTACTGCTTTTTTCTCAAGTGCTGCACTGATGAAAAGTTCCACTTAAAGTTGTTAAATTAAACAACAAATTGAAATTTTTTAACAACGACCAAGTAGCATCGAATTTTTGGGGAATTCTTCATTAACGAATTAGATAATTTTTTAGATCTGATAATTCTCTATTTTTAGATCCGTATGACACCGAAACCCTGTCAAATTGTTGTGAATTCAAATCATAATTTCCATGATTTTTTATTTTCTTGACAATTCAACTGTATATCAGATACAGTTGAATCTTGACGATAAGCAAGATAACTTAAGTTTTCAGTGAATAATGCATCATCAGTTAGACATGAAGAGCATGAGGAGTGAATTTTTTTCAATTTTCACAATGAATGAGAAATTAGCGTCCATTTTTAATTGGAATTGACTTAAACCCCACAAAATTGAAAATCCGACAAACTTTGTAAGTGAACTTTCAAGAACTTTCCAACAGTGCATGGTTTATAACGTTCAGGCGAATTAGTATGGGCCGTCTTCTATCATTGGAATCTATAAATGAATATTAATATAACATTCATTATTTCATAATAAATATCTAGGGAAAAAAAGATATTCAGGTGTCAAACGATTCGATCAGTTCCATGATAATTCAGAATTTGACCTTCAACATATGTGAATGTCATTTGTTCGAATTAACCTCTCCTTTTTCACATCAAACTAAGAAGATGACTGAGTGAAACCGTCACCTGAACCTGATGATTTACTGAATATGGGCGTGTAGCGAATTCTAGCTTGACAAAGACCATTGCAAACTTCTTTTATCTCAACTGATGCAACAGGATTGTAGGATAGAGAACCCCTCGGCTTACATAAACACTGCAATACGATGGGTCATATTTGCACAACGATGGGACCTCTTGTGTGTAATATCATTTTGTATTCGAGCATCGAAGTTCAAACTTGCGAGACGAGCGGTTTCAGAGAACGAAACCATGACTTTTTGCGTTGCGTAAGTCAGGAATTTCGTGTCAATATAGCATTCGAGGAAGAGATATTGGGACGGTGACCCACTTCTTTC